TGATTCGGTGACTGGGGTAATCGGGATGGGTGTGTCAGAGGCGGTGCGGTTGGCGCAGGATAGAGCAGGGTTTAGGGCTGTTGTGCATAGGATCGCTATGAGTCGGAAAGGACTCGACGGCACATAACAACAACAATACCTAATTGAGCCTTGTGAGTGTATTGTATCTCTTGCTAGTTTTGTATTTGTCAAAGTTTTGCTTCCTAATGTGTGTTATAGTTGATAATGGTGTACATGCAGATTTCTGTTTGCTATTTGTATAGAGTTATTGAAAGCGGACTAGACCGGTATTGGTACAAGTCTTTGTCAGTCAGATGCAGCAGGAGGTCTTGCACAATGGATGAAGCCGTAGGTGGCTGAATACTACTGATCTCCATTGTCAGATGAGACAAAGAAAGCTGGAAACAAAGCTGAACAAAAACAAACAGAAAACACAGACATAATTTAATAAGATTGGTCAGTAAAATAAATTAGAAAAACCAAAACTGAGATGGATACAAAATTAAGGAGAATCAGAATAGAAAATCAGGAAAGAAGAAAACAGATAGACAAGGTAAACACTGTAGAGATTAGAAAGTAAGAGATATGAAGAACAATTTTTTAAAAACACACAAGAGCAAAATATAAAACAAACAAGCAAACAAAAATCCAAAAAGTTATAGATAATAAAAACAAGAAAGGAAAAAGGAGGGACAGTCAAGGACACATGTTGAGTGTTCTTGTACTGCTGTGTGGAAGGAGACATGGTGCCTGGCCTGGGACATTGTGTCTGTGAGTCCAGCAAACTGTCAGAGTTGAGGTGCCAGTCATCTTTTCTGCTCATCTGAGAGGTAGTTGAGGAGGATCACAGGTAGCACTTTACCTGTCTGACATAGAACACTCAGTCTGAGACAGATTCTGCTGGCAACAGAGAGTCCAACTGACAAGGAATGGTATATTTGCCAATCTGGGGAATGGTTGAAGTACAGTACCAAATCATCGATGTCTCGTGTGAAGATACAGTCAGTGACAACCTAAAATTCCCAGGCTGGTCTGAGGAGGGTGTGCTCAGAGAAGGATGAGCTCTGAGGATTTTGTGGTCCAAGAAGAGTATATTCCGAGGAGACTGCACCCCGGGAACAGTGTAATGAGAGGACAGTGGGTTGAGAGATCAGTAGGGTGGGAAGATGATGTGGTGAGTGGACAGTGTGCTTGGAGGAGGGTGCAATGAGAAGACTGTGGGGTCAGAGGAAGGTGCAGTGGGAGGACAATAGGATGGGAGGATGATAGGGTGGGAGGACAGTGTGGTGGGAGAAGGATGTAGTGGGAGGAAGATGCACTCAGAGGAGGGTGAGGTGGGAGGAAGGGGTGATGGGAGGATATGCAGCAGGAGGAGAGTGCACACGAGAATGGTGTTCTCAGAGGAGGGTGCACTTTTCCTGAAATGGCACTGGCATATTCTGTCAAGGGTGCCCAGTAATGGCAAAGACTCCAGTGAGACAGGGTGCCCCCACTAATCCAGGGGCTGATTGCATGTCAGAGTCTCTGACTCTGGAAGCAGTCTCTGGATGTTGAGGTGTGAAGCTTCTCACAGTGGCAGATCTAAAATTGTATGGGCCTGGATTCTGGTGGCGCTGGCTTGGGTCAGGGAAGGTGGTAGTGGAGGAAAGTTACTCCCTGATCTCCAGCAGGGCACAGAGGGCAAGGAAGGAGATCACACCTTTCCCACCATCAGCTCTCTGCATTCCAGCTTCTAACGTGAGCAGGGAGTTGTTCAGTATGGTTGTGCTGCAATCTTTTACTTTTGCGTTTTGTCTGCCACCTTATTTGGTGTTTTCCTTCACCATCCTCCTTCAGTCAGTGTTTTAACATACTTCTTTGTCTTTCTTTTTACAATTCAAGTTTCCAGAATTACTATCTGTATTTGTTTTTTGGTGTCTTCATTGTAAAGGGTCTAGACTGCCAACTGTCCAAGTCTATCAGTCTTATCTCCTCACTCAGAAATCTATTCTCTAGTTACCTTTTTTGCAGTTAATTATTACTCTTAATTCCAATATGACAAGAAAACATATTCTGAATTATTTCAATCTTTTGAAAATAACTTAAGCTTTCTGTATGGCCCTAGATCTTGTTAATTTCATAAAGGATTCGTTAGAACTTGAAAATAATTCTGTAACTCTATTTCTAAAAAAATTATTTTATTCTTTATAAATAGTTATTCACACAATAGTTTGTTTGTGGGAGTAGCCTCCTGCTTCTCTTATAAGAGACTTAATAGAACTCCATGATTGAAATTACTAGTTGAAATTACCTTACTAGTTATGTAACTCTTAAATAATTACAATATTTCCTTTTTTTAACTTTGGAAAGCCAAAACCATTCCAGCTAAACATCTTATTCCTTTTCAGTGAGCTCTGTGAACAGGATATAGCTGTTATATTGATTCCAGAAATGATCCAGGTAGAATTCCCTCTGTCGAACCACGAAGACAACAAGAAGGAAAAGTAAGTGGATGCTTTTATGTCTTACATGTCTTTATATCTTAAGAGGTAAGCTGGTAGGTAAGATAAAGAGAAGAAAGTACTGATTCAGTGACTACAACAATGGGCCCAGGCATGGCAGATGTAATGAGGATGGGGCAGGACTGTTGTTTCACAGAGTTGCTGAGTCACAGTGAATGTGACAGCACCTAACAAAAACAATAAGAGGTGAGCGTGGATAAAATATATGCTCAATAAAGTATAAAACTGTTGTATTGCCTGAATGTTAATATTTCAAGTTTAGAAAGAGACACATTTCTCATGTCTTAGATATATAAAGATAGGTGATGATAGATGATAGATAGATAGATAGATAGATAGATAGATAGATAGATATAGATAGATAGATTTCTTCCTCAAACATAGGTAAGTGAACTTTCATATCCCAATTTCTGATTTTTCCATTTGCTTACTCTTTCATTTCAGAAATCTGTCTATTTCAAAAGCTAATTGAATTTTTTTTTCCAATATAAGGAACTCAGACTCTGGAGCCAAATGGAGACCAGGGTTGAGTCCTGCCTACACATTTATCATAAAATATCTTTTCCAAGACAGTTGTGAGGATTAAGCAAGATGTAAAAGCCTTCAGCAAGTTGCTCGATGTGAACTAGATGCTCAGCAAATGTGATTTATTTCCTTCACTCCATCAGATGGCTAACTAGCTAAACAAGAACATCTTCATAGTCATAGAAACTTAGCAGATAAAACATAAATTCTACATTAATGTACATTTTAATTTTTTAATACAATAATTGTTATACTGTCGTCCAGAAAAGTATATCAACACACCGGCAGCTCAGGAGTGTCTGCCTTCAGTGGCTGACTGCCTGCTTTTGCCAATAGACCAGAAGAACAGGGTGGTATGTAGTTCCCATTACTGAACATTTTACACAAAATTTCTAAAGAAAATTCACAATAAAATTGAGACAAATGCAGAACATAATTCCACATTCTCATAGACTCCAAAATCAGCTGGCACCCTATTAATTCTTGGGGTCTTATTTTTTGCTAATGCCTTTAGTGCATTTGGAACTTCTTCCAACAGAAACTATGACTCTTTATCATATGCTATTTCCTGAAATATTTCAGTGTCAACCAAATCTTTTGGATACAATGACTCTATGCATTCCTTCCATCTTTTTTCGTTTTCACATTTATCAGAGTATAGCAGATGAGACATGTCAGATGAACTGGGGGTCTCTGGCTGACAGTCCACCAACTGGTGGGTGTGCTGGAATTTTTCAATGCTGAAATTCTTGGCCTCGCCTTCAGACTGAGGGCTAGCATGTTGTGAGTCAGTTCTGTGCTGCAAGTTGTGAAGGTGTCTCACATCTTGAAGAGGGACAAGTATGGAACGAACATTCAGCTCTCTTATATCTTTCTTTTCACCCTGAATGGATGTCAGCAGAAGAGACATGCCAGATGAACTGGGGGTGTCTGGCTAACAGTCCTCCAGCTTGTGGGCATGCTGGAATTTTTAAATCCTGAAATGCTTGCCCTCACCTTGAGGCTCAAGGCTAGCGTGTTGTGAGTCAGTTTAATTGTTTTTGGTCAAACATTCTTCTAGGTGATGTAGCACTGCTCTGTCGATTTGCTATACAGAGGTAACTCGTGGTGGCTGTGATGCTGAACACTGTGACTCTAATGTGCCAAATGCGATTGGTCACCTATGGTGAATAGTGTTTTGCGGAGATTCCCGATTAAAACAATCTTGGAAGCAGGAGAGGCATCCATTTCCAAAATAGCTTGCCTCTGGAAACCCTATGAACTTGGAGAAAAGAAGAAAGTTCATACGGTCGCTATGAGTCGCCTACAACTCCACAGCATTTAACAACAGCAGCTTTTCATAATGTTCTGATTTACAGATTTATTTTCTCCTGATTCTGTTGTGATGTCAACTCTGTCATTCCTTAATCAAGTTATTTGTGTCTTCTCCTTTTTGCTTTTGTTAAGTTTGTCAATGGTTTGTCAATTTTATTGACACTTTCAAAAAAATAGCTCCTGATCTTATTAATGATTTCATTTGTTTTTCTGTCTTTTAACTTTCATTTCAGCTCCTGTTCTTATCATTTCCTTTCTTCTAGACATTGTAAGTCTTTTCCTACTTTATGAAGGTGTTCAGTGAGCTCATTAGTTTTGCTTCTTCGTTTTTATGTGTTTGCCTATTACTATGAACTGCCTCCTGAGGACTGCCTTAGCTGCAGCCCAGAGATTGTGGTACATTGTATTTTCATTATAATTTGTTTTTAAGAACTTTTTTGGTCATTCTTTATTTCTTCTATAACTCAATCGTGTTCTAGCAGGGTGTTATTTAGCTTGCACATAGTGACTTTATAAGATTTATCCTCTTGTGGTTAATATGTATTTTTATGGCACTGTGGTTGGAGAAGATACTTCATATTATTTCAATGTGGTGTTTTTTTTTTTTCATTTTAAGGCTTTTGTGGTGTCCAAATATGTGACCAGTTCTAAAGAATGTACAGTGTGCAATTGAGAAGAAAGTGAATTGAGTTTTTCTTGAGTACAGTGCTCAATAATAGTGCTCAGGAATAGATGGTAAACCAATTGACATATTTCAGTTAACAGATGCTGCCCCGGATGTGCTCACCAAGTTGTGCCAAGAAATTTGGAGAAC